TATATATATATATATATGATTTTAAACTAGTTTTCCCAAAATTCATTCACAGTGATATCTTAAAAATATTTAAGATATTAATATGATTTATCACCTAATTTTTGAAAATGTTTTTATATTTTTGTTAAATGTAAAATTTTATATTTAGTCCTGTTTGATAGAGATTAAAATTAGCAATTTTGTAAATTTTGATAAAAAAAATGATGAAATGTGTGGTTGAAAAATTGTAAATTCTATAAAATGTGTAGTTAAAATCAATTGTTGACCTTAACTTATATTAAAATCTAGCTTTTTATTCTTATCAAATAGAGGGAAGTATTGCATTTATGAATTTCTTCCTAAAGAGGTCTATATGTAGATTGGACTGAACTTCGAGTCCAAGGACTGCGCCAAACATTTCATTAATGGATTGGCTCCATAGTCTGGGCCTTAACAGGTTTCACCCAACTCAACATAAGGTCCAAATAACAATATATCTTATCGGGCCAAAAACTTCATCATCCCTGTCTACACCAAGTATGGAGGTTCTGCTAGTGGTCTCTGCATTTCCTCCTTTGAAGAAGACTTTGAAATGGAAGAATTTCAGTTCGAGTTCCCACAAAAATGGGTTCCCAATTCATGTTTTGCCTCGCCAGGTGAAATATAATTGCTTTACTGTTGTTTATTTTTCTATTTTTCATTCATTGCCGTGTTCAATTAATCAATACAAAAAGTTATAAACCCTCTTGCCGAGAAGGGCAGCGAATTGATCAAATAATTTAAAAATTTCACGTCAGCACTGAAATTAATGATTAATGAACTGGGCTCTTTTAACAGAGGAATTGTGGTGATGCAGAGCTTCTTTCATGGAAAATATAGAAGTTGTGTGGATTGGGATGATGCTTATGTGGAAGATGCTTCATTAATTCACAATTTGAATGGAGAAAAAATTCCTCAAATTACTGAAAATTTTAGTCTTGAGGTGAAACCAGGAGAGGTTCTGTCTTACAATTCTACCCTGTCCAGTTTGCTGCTACGCTATGCTAGTAATGGTTTTTACTCTAAAGCAAAGGCTGTTTGGGATGAAATATTGAACAGCTCGTTTGTGCCAGATGTTAGTGTAGTTTCTAAATTAATCACTATATATGGGAGTGTAGACAATTTTGATATGGTTAGCCAAATTATGCGTCAAATGCAATTAAAAGATCCAGATATTTTACCCGACATTTGTGCACTGTCTATTTCTTGCTTTGGAAAGAGAGGACAACTAGAATGTATGGACATTATGGTCAAGGAGATGGTGTCTATGGGATGTTCTGTAGATTCGGCCACTGGAAATTCTTATCTATTGTATTATAGTCTTTTTGGTTCGGTTGCTGAGATGGAAGTCGCTTATGGCCGTCTTAAGAGGTCGAGGATTCTCATAGAGGAAGAAGCAATAAGGGCCATGTCATTTGCTTATATTAAGGAAAAAAAGTTTTATGCTTTAGGTCAGTTCATGCAGGATATAGGTCTTGGGAGGAGAAATGTGGGCAATCTTCTTTGGAACCTTCTCCTATTATCTTATGCTGCAAATTTCAAAATGAAAAGCTTGCAGAGGGAATTTGTGAAGATGGTGGAAGCAGGATTCACTCCTGATCTTACTACTTTTAACATTAGAGCACTTGCTTTCTCAAGAATGTCTTTGTTTTGGGATCTGCATGTAAGCCTCGAACATATGAAGCATGAAGCAGTTGTTCCTGATCTTGTGACTTATGGTTGTGTTGTTGATGCATACCTCGACAAAAGATTAGTAAGGAATTTGGAATTTGCCTTGAGCAATTTGAACAAGCACAATTCTGTCTCAGTATCGACGGATCCACTTGTTTTTGAGGTTATGGGAAAGGGAGATTTTCATTTGTTTTCAGAAGTGACATTGGAGTACACAAGAAAAAAGAAATGGACCTATAACATGCTAATTACCACCTATCTTAAGAAAAAGTTTCGGAGTAATCAAATATTTTGGAATTATTGATGATGATGAATTAATTGATTGTGAAATGGATATATTGTGGTAGTTGTTCAGGCAAACTCACTGATAAGAACTCATGCTACAGTTTTTGACCACTCATTCTTTGGTGATTAATCAGCTTTTGCTACTGCCTTTTGGGCAAGCTAATGAGATTGGCCTGAACTCTGTATTTGCTTCTGTAGGCAACATTCTTAGACAAATATAATTGTAAATCAGATTGTTGGTTTTCACACCACCCTGGCAGCCAACCATGTGGTAACAGGTTTCGGAGTAATGAATCTGTGGAACAATTGGCAGAACTTTCTGGATTTTAGATTGGTAAATGGTGAGCTGGTATGGGCTCTCACATGGTTTTGATGAGACTAACTTGAGACAGAGAACTAAGGACAACATATGGAACACTAAGTGTGGATCACTACCTTGTTTTTTGTAGATTCAAGTTTGATTTTTCATCCTTTATTTTCCTTGAATTTTGATGAGAAACTCCTTATTATGAGATGTAGATATTAGTCATTAATTTCCGATTTAATATATTACTGCAATGTATTTCAACAAATATAGCCTCGGTGTTTGGTTCCTAAAAAGTAGCTTATAAGTTTCTTTTTTTATCTGGTCAAAGCCAAACATTAATATCAATTGCACATTCATAACCACTACCCATTTATTGTCTTTTGTGGTTATACCATTGAGCTAAAATCTTTCTATTTGTATGATAGATAGAAAGCATATAACAGTATTGATTACAAAATTATTTAAAGTATTTGCATCTGTCATTAATTTTGATAATTTTAGAACATATTTGCATTTACTAATTCTAAAATTTTATCTTTGCGTTGCCGATTTTATCTTAGAATCTGATTTTATTTGTGTGGAGACTAGACTAGCTTGTGTTACTTCCTTCTTGCAGTAAAAAATGTTCTGAAAGTCCCTACTATTTCATTTCTTTCAGCTTCTTGTTTGTTTGTTTATTTCAAATTTCTTCAATATCTTCTGGTCAATTTGATATTGATGGGCAAGTAATTACACTCAAGTTGTCATGTGCAGACTTAATTTACACAATAGAAATTCTCTTTTTTATTTCCATAAAAATTATCATTACGTAGTCTTTTGGGTTGGTCATGAACATTATTCTTATTGTTCCATATTATTTATATTACTATATGTGTTACTATTACCCATGAAGTGGTATCAACGGCTATAGACAAAGCAATTATAGCAGAAATGGTGAAACTGTTCAAAGAATCTGACTTAGGGATGAGATTGCCTGATGGTAGAAAAAGTCTGTATGCTGCTGGTAAGCTACTATTTTCTTGGAAGGAGTTTACCACTAAATTTTATAGATGAAGATGATGGAATCAATGTGCCTGTTTTACTTGTAGACTAATTATTTTGATGTTTGATAAATACAAACTATCTCCTTGTATATTTTGCAAGATGTGAATTCGAATTCATTTTGTGCTCTTTATAGACTGAATGTTGTTTGCCTATGGAGATTAAATTTTGCATGTGTCTCTGTTTCCAGTTCGTTCAATGTTAAGAGAACATTATATTTTTTTACTTTATGGTCAAAGTTCCTATTATATGCTTAATTGTAAAGTACAAGTGCACATGCTGATAACTAGTATAGAAGTTGGGGTTTGGTTAGAAATCAGTTTATTTGTATGCAAGAATCTGTATGCAGAGTTATGGACCTATATGAAACCAAACGAAAGAATGAGTGCCAAACAAGCTCTACGTAGATTAGTAATAGAGATGAGATATCCAATAAACAAGTACCGTAAAACCCAACCCTTTTGACTCCTTACTTTCAAAGTGACATCCCATGGTTTTGTCATTGTATAGAGTAAACTTCGGTCCGGACCTTAAGTAATGTTTAGGAAGATCCTTCAACTTTTTAGTTCCTAATGACTTGTCAGAATTCAGGTATATTTTTGCATTAAATCTAATAAATAGAATAACTATTTCATTCGAACAGTCAATATCATCCACTTAAGAAATAGCTGCTAGTTTGATACAAACCTACTGGACGGGCTAAGGATAAACAATGACTTGTCCTTTTTTGTTTCTCTTAGCTCTAATGAGTTGTAATGGATGAAATTTGACAAGCTGAATGTCATTCTGAACGAAATTTCTGATTTGCTAATCCTTGCCTAGTGGGTAAATCTACTTTGAGAGGATGATGCACACAAATAGATCAGTTCTTCTTAAAGGATCATTAGAAAGCAATTTGTTTTCAATGCATGCATTAAAAAAGTTGATATATGTGCTATGAGTAGAATTTTGTCATCTGTATGTTGGACAACTGATTTTAGTTTCTCGACTTCTTAGTCCAATTCAAAAGGATTTTATTGAACTTTAATACACAATGCAGCTTAAAATAAGTTAGTAGTGCTAAGTATAAGCTTGATCGTCAACCTTTATGGTATCTGTTCCCTGTGCCAATCCCACACTCAAAATTTAGTGTGGTTTTCAACCCACAGTTGATTTTCTATCTGACCTGTATCCCGTGCTTGATCAGTTCTTTGTGCTTTCATAAATAGAGTACCACATTGGTGGATTACTCACCTGCAAAAGAGGACCTACAGCTTGTTACATGTTCAAGATTAATAAGGTCATGGTAGTAACTAGCTAGCATATGCTTTATCAGGATCCAGGAAGAATTTGAATATTATCTTTCTGCAGTTTTAATGACGACAAATTCTGAGGGACTTCGTTTGCAGAATATATATTCCCTAGTTATTCGCAGAGGTCAGATGTAGCTTTATGTTACACATTTTACCCAAAGTTAAGAAGATCAAATGCATGTTTAGCAAAGCTAAAATTATAATTTAAGAGGGTCAAACATACTTTTTATCAGGACATTTTAATAAGACTTGTAACTTCTACCCATTTTTTATCCACGCATTTCGTAGGATCCATTGCTTACAAGTACTTAAAAGAACTACCAAACATACTAAAAGACTAATTTTCTCTATTTGTTAGGTTAAAAACACCATAACTTATGCTTATGATCAACTCATTTGAGAATTAGACTGGGTTTGACTTGGTGAGTTCTTTTTACTGATAGTCACTGGGACTATTGACATTGTTTCTTCTGCTAGTGATCTCAACCTGTTTAGTTCAGGTGATATCACGTTGACAAGATCTGGTCTGTCTTTTCGCCTTATTTCTGTGCACCTAAGTGCTAGCTTAGCAAATTTCAAGGCCTCTTCTACTGGCTAGTCAAGAACTTTTGGGTCGAGCATTTTAGTGAAAGTCCTCCTCTCAATGGCCCTCTCAACATGGTGAGTCAAACCCTTTGGGGACTTGTCTGTTATTATTTGAAGAAGCATAACTCGAAGTGAGTAAATGTCAAACTTTATACACAGCATGCCAGTTTGCTGATATTCAGGGTCTATGTAACAGAAAGTTCTAGTTGTTGATGTCATGTGATATTGTGTAACAGAGTTAGCAACTAAGGGAGGGACAAGCCTAGCTAAGCCAACATCACTGATCTTGCTTACAAAGTTACTGTCAAGCAAAATGTTGCCCGGTTTAAGGTCTCTGTGTGCCAGTGGTTCTGGCTTGTCCTGGTGGAAGAAAAGGAGTCCTGTGCCGATTTCTGTAGCTATTTTGAACCTGAGTTGCCAAGTCAGCACTGGAGTGTTTCCTCGTCGGAAGAGACAATTATCTAAGCTCCCATTGGCCATGTATTCAGAGACTAGGCAGCCACACTTGGGGCATGCTTCGAGGAGCAGAACCATGTTGGGATGTCGAATGCAGCTTAGAACTATAATCTGCATTATATTGCCCAGAAACATAGGAGTGAGTTATAAGCAATACACTTGCATTAAAATGCCCAATTCATTTTTGCGGTTGAAACTATTTTCAGTTAGAAAGACTATACTCTTTCTCAAATTTGCTTGCAAATGACATGAAATTTGTCTACTTTAGTTGCATAAAGATATGGTCCTCTACTTCTGTTAGTTTAAAGATTTCTTTTATGAGATGTATTATGTAGCCGTGAACCTATTTTATCACCAGTTACCCTTTTACATAATGTTGCTAATTTCATATTGCACAACTAGGAATCAGATTTCTTAGATAAATTGAATATTTGGGGGTTTCACACCTCTTGCTGAAACTGTGATTTTTCCTTGAGCTGCATTAGGACGTAGAACCTTAACTGCAACTTGTGTATGATCTAGGTAACGGTTGTAGACTGGCCCATATCCACCTTCTCCAATTTTGCGAGATTCTGAAAAGTACTCCATTGCTGCTTCAATCTCCCCTATTGAGTATTTACGATATCTAACATTATTTTGTGCTATCTTCTCCAGTACTTTCTTCTTCTCCTCTGCTTCTTTGAGTGCTTTCATCTCAGCATTGATTCTTTTCTGTGCTTAAAGTTCAGCTGTCCTATGAGCTGCTTCAGCTTTCTCAATAGCTTCCTTGCATTTTGCTTTTTCTTTCTCTGCAATTGCTAATGCTTCTTCCTCAGCTAGTTGTTGACCTATGTTTGATCACGACCTTAATGTTTTGATTATAACAAACAAGTCCATCATGTTTACTAACAAATTGAATTGAGTGTTTAAGCCTTCAAAGTTATAAAGATTATTATTCACACTCAAATGAAGTACAAGTGAAGGTTAAA